TAATAATAAATTTAATTCAATAATATAATCAAACCAAAAACACTGAAATTTTAAATATAGCGCTAAGTTCGCACATCACTGAGCAAAGTCGCAAAATCGTTTTTAGTGTCTGATGACGAATTTCCCCACGAATCATTATCACTCAATTCTGCAAGTAGTTCTAATTTACTATCGCTGTTCTCTAGCTGGTCTAAAACCACTTTTGACCTAAAGGGATGCTTTTTGGACACCATGGACATTTCTCAGTTTCCAGGCAGAAAGAACGGTAAAAATGTAGGCAGGGCACAGGACAAAGCACTCGGGACAAAATGTATGTGAAATGGTTTGATTCAGTAATGTTTTACTATGTGATTTTAGTGAATTTAGTGAATATCACTTTTTGTCATTTTCAAATTTCCCGCCGTTCCATCCCCTTACGTCCTGACGTCGCAGGGGGCGGAAGACAGATGTCAGCATCCGCCGGAGGACATTACAGGGGACACTGCAGGAGGGACATCACGGGAGCGCAGGACAAGGTAAGAGAAGAACAGATTCTGGAGCAGCGCCGCATAGTAAGCCTGAGTGTAGCTCGGGGTTACCACTTGTGGTACTATAACTTTACCCCGAGCTACACTCAGGAATACCTCCTGGGAGGCTACTAAACAGAATTACTTTTATCAGAGGAAGGGGATCAAACCCAATTGTAGATTTCCTGACTTTAAGTTAAAGTTCCGAAGATTTGTTGAAAATTAACTTTAATTTGTTTCTCTGTAGACAGGTTATCCCTAAATCAGAAACAAACCTGTTGTGGATACAAATACAAATTATCCTTGTTAAAATGTTATCAAGTTTGAAAGTCGAACTTTGTATTGTAACAGAGAATGGCTAAACACTGCTAATGTGTGTATATAAACAGAGTGGAAGAATGTCATAATATGTTCCATTTGTTATTGTATTTGCAGTGAGATATTTACTGAAAGGGACCCAAGTACTTAATATTTTTCTTCTACTAGTTATCTGATGCAATAGTAGATAACCGGTTACATTTTGAGGGCTTCAGCTGAAGCTCTTCACTTGTCTTAAGGACCACCAGAGGTGTATCTAATAAGGAGTGCACCTTGGCCACAGAATTTGGAATAAGTTCCTAGAAATATTCCAAGGAAGCTTCTTAGGCTATGCCTCCTTTTGCATATTACAAGAATTGTTTCTCACTTCTACTGTGCTATTGCATGTTGTCATTTCCAGAGCAGTGACAATGCATATTTTATTCCAATGTCAAATAAATGCTTAGTTTATTTGTCAACTTAATACACAGACTTTAAATGCATTTATACATATTTATCTCCAATATAAAATTGCGCACCCTTTTGGTAGCCTGGGTAACTGCCCTTGTTGCCGTCCCTATGTGATTCCTCTATAGCCACACTTAGGCTGAACTCACACATACTTGGGTGACTGGTGTTTTACAGCATAGTAAAATGACTGTTACCACAAGGACACACAGAAAGGAATTGTTTCCTGGGTGTCCCATTCACACTGCAGTGCAGCATTTTGGGTTTGATGAAAAAATTAAAATGTCATCAGCAAATAGTGCCGAGTGCATAACCGTATCTTATATCTTGATACCTGATAAGTTATATATCTAGAAAATGGTTCTATGGCTAGATCAAACAATAAAAGCAATAGGGGTCAGCCTTGTCTGGTTCCTTTTGTAAATTTTATAGTTTCTGATATATGTCCTTAAGTACATAATCTTGCTGTAGGGGTGGAGTACATATTCTCAATAAGATTTATGATAGGTCCTGCAAATCCCATTTCCTTTAATACTTTGAATAACCATTGTAGACTGATATTGTCAAAGGCCTTTTTCGGCATCTAATGTTATTATGGCTGTATATACTTCAGGATGTGATCTAGCAAATTCCAATACCATGATGGTTTTTCTAATATTTAAAGTGGCCGATCTACCCCTAATAAATCCCGCTTGTGCGATATGTATACGTTTTGGAAGCACATCAGCATAATCGTGCACACCACACTGCCGCCTACCACAGCCAGGAGCAGAGAGCTGCCAAAGAAGTAAAGCACTCCAGCTACTCTCCGTTCCCATGTGAACTCTCCCTAGAAGCTGAACTCCGGGATGTTCTAAATTTTTCTCTTAAACTTCAATTCCTTATGTGCAATAAACACATGAAAAATGTTATTGTATTGCCTACTTCTATTCTGAGAAATTTCTGTTAAAGGTGAATGGATGAGGTCAATACCATATCCCAGGAGTTCTTTCACACAGGCAATGTATGGTACATTCAGCAGGGGATCTGTGAACAGATCCCCGGCCTAAATGGAGCAAAACAGGACAGATGTCACTTTGGGGAAATTCAGGTTTTTTTTTTTTTTTTTTTTTGCATTTTTACAGCAGACCCTTCCAGATCCATGTTCAATCTATAGGCAACCGGATGAAAATGAACCTTTATCTGTTTACATCAGGCTACCTCTAATCATTCATGTTTAGGGTTTTAAAAATGGAAAAGGATGCAATCCTTTTTTATTTTGTTAATCGAGACCTGGGCGGGCTCAGAGGTAAGTGGATTTATTTGGACCTTCAATATTTCTTTTAGTCTATCTCGTGCTGCAACCTTCACTTAACCCTAGGCAGTTGACATTTGAAGTGAAGAAATTACCCAATAAAATGTGTATTTTTAAAATATGCCGTGCTAAATGCAAATAATCCATACTATTTAGTGCTTCAAATCATAGTTACATAGTTAGTCTGGCTGATAAAAGACAAAAGTCTATCCAGTTAAAAAAAAAAGTTATAATCCTACACCCACAGTTGATCAAGAGGAAGGCAAAAAAACAGCAAAGCATGATCCAGTTTGCTCCTGCAGTGGAAAAAAAATCCCTTCCTTATCCCCCGAGAGGCAATCGGATATTCCCTGGATCACCTTTACCTATAAATGTTAGTATCCAGTTATATTCTGTGTATCCAAGAAAGAATCCAGGCCTTTTTTTAAAGCAATCCACAGAGCTGTCCAGAACCAAGTCTTTAGGGAGTCTATTCCACATTTTCACAGCTTTTAATGTCAAGAAACCTTTCCATATTTGGAGATTAAATCTCATTTCCTCCAGACGTAAGGAGTGCCCCCTTGTCTTCTGTGATGATCTCAGGGGTGAATAGCTCTATACCAAGTTCACCATATGAACCACTGATGTATTTATACATGTTGATCATATCCCCCCTTAATCTCCTCTTCTCAAGAGAGAATAAATTCAGTTCCTCTAATTTTTCCTCATAACTGAGCTCCTCCATGCCTCGTATCAGTTAAGTTGCCCTTCTCTGTACTTTCTCCAGTTCCCCAATGTTCTTTTTGTGAATTGGTGCACAAAACTGAACTGCATATTCCAGATGAGGTCTTACTAATGATTTGTACAGGGTAATATGATATCTCTCTCTCTGGAGTTTATACCTCTTTTAATACAAGAGAGGATTTTGCTCGCTTTAGATACCGCAGCTTGGCATTGTATGTCATTATTAAGCTTGTGATCTACCAGAACCCCCAGATCCTTCTCCACCATTGATTCCCCCAGTTGTACCCCCCTAATCATATAGTATATGTCCATACACCTACTGTATATCATGAATTGCAATAATACATAACGTGTGCCACATGCATGAATAAATCAACAAATTGTGTATCGTACTCTGCAACAAGGAGATTGCGCATGTGGGAGGTGCTGCTTGGGACCGCTTGGAGGGGATCGCACTCTGAGAGTGGTGAGAATTTGCACTTCACCAGCCCTTGGGAGATGTTTTCCTGCAGTCTCTAGAGGAGCCTGATTGTTTTAAAACACACGAGTGTAACATTTATCTTTATAATAAAGCTTTTGAACATTATGGAGAGCACTATCATTTTATCTTTTTTGAGGCTCATCATCATTCAGGGAGATCTCTGCATCGAGTGAGATGAATTTGTCTATGGGGTTTTCCCTGCCTTGGCTTTAAAGGGGACTTGCCCTTACGTTCTGCATGACCTTCTAATACAAAGGTCTATCTAAGAAGATGAGTGTGTGCCCACTGGGGAAGGTGAAAGGCACCAGTGTATGTTTATGACTTTCCATATTGCACAAGGATATTAGAAGATGTCATTTATGGACACTGTAATTTGTTTGCAAATAATGCCATCAAGTTTTTTATATTGTATGTTCACATTTGGAGATTTATTATTGTTTTAATTTTTATACTAATTTGATACACAATTTGTTTATCTATTTCAGTCATGTGGTACACATCTTTTCGTATTACTGCAATTGATGATTTACAGTAGATGTATGGGTATAAAGTATATGATATGAAGCACTAGATTGGATTGATTGATTTTCATTTAGCACCACATATTTTATAAATACAGATCTAAATGGATGCACCTCCATTTACATCTGCCTGCTCAAAGACTCATAGACTGCTCATAGAAAAAACTGACAGGCCGACCCAATCAGAAATCCCCTGTGAAAGGACCCTAAGGCTGCATTCACACTTGGGCGATTTGTAGCTTGAAGCTCCAAAAATGCTTAAACTTAAAAAAATCAATTGTTCACTACGGTGCCTGTTTGTGTGATTAAGTGTGAAGAGGTACCAAAGAGAACAATTGATTTTTTTTAAGTTTGAGAGTTTTTGGAGCTTCAAGCAAGTGTGAATGCAGCCTAAGGATGTTCAATATGTCTCAGACATGGCCTGTTAATCAAAGCATAGTGGTGGACGGGTCCTTACAGGACCTGGGTCCTTACACTACACTATTAATGAACTAAACCAGGGGTCCTCAAACTTTGGTCCTGTTCACTGTCCCTCAGACCGTTGGAGGGCTGGACTATAGTTTAAAAAAAAAAAAAACTATGAACAAATGCGGACACAGTACAGGAGATGACCAGAGACTGTGGATATACAACGGCGGTGGGAATACTGGGCCGGCCGCTCCATAAGACACACAGACATTTCCCCCAAGTGTGTCTTATGGAGCGAAATAGTGCCCCATCATTGGTGTCAGAGGGAGGAATAGTGCCCCATCATTGGTGTCAGTGGGAAGAATCGTGCCCCATCATTAGTGTCAGTGGGAGGAATAGTGCCCCATCATTGGTGTCAGTGGGAAGAATCGTGCCCCATCATTAGTGTCAGTGGGAGGAATAGTGCCCCATCATTGGTGTCAGTGGGGAAGAAATGTGCCCCATCATTGGTGTCAGTGGGAAGAAACGTGCCCCATCATTGGTGTCAGTGGGAGGAATAGTGCTCCATCATTGGTGTCAGTGGGAAGAATCTTGCCCCATCATTGGTGTCAGTGGGAGGAATAGTGCCTCATCTTTGGTGTCAGTGGGAGGAATAGTGCCCCATCATTAATGTCAGTGGTGGGAGGAATAGTGCCCCATTGTTGGTGTCAGTGGGGGGAGGAATTGTGCCCCATCGTTGGTGTCAGTGTGGGGGGGAATAGTGCCCCGTCATTGGTGTCAGTGGGGGAAGGGGATAGTGTCCCAACATTGGTGTCAGTGGGAGGAATAGTGTCCCATCATTGTTGTCAGTAGGAGGAATAGTACGTCATTGGTGTCAGTGGGGGGGAATAGTGCCCCGTCATTGGTGTCAGTGGGGGGGGGTAGTGTCCCGACATTGGTGTCAGTGGGAGGAATAGTACCCCATCATTGGTGTCAGTGGGGGAAGGAATAGTGTTCCATTGTTGGTGTCAGTGGGGGGGGAGGAATAGTGCCCCATCGTTGGTGTCAGAGTGGGGGGGAATAGTGCCCCGTTATTGGTGTCAGTGGGGGAAGGGGATAGTGTCCCAACATTGGTGTCAGTGGGAGGAATAGTGTCCCATCATTGGTGTCAGTGACACCAATGATGAGGCACTATTCCTCCCACTGATACCAATGACACTTAACTTGCTGACCCCTGTTCCAGCATGGTGCTGCTGCAGCCAGCATACCTGGTTGCAGCAGCACCATCTGCACGGCACACTTACCTGTCAGCTGTCCTTTTTCACTCCGGCTTCTCCCTCACTCGATGTTTGTGGGGTCACTCAGCACCGCCTCCTCGCAGGTGATTGGCCACCTGTGTGCCTTTCCTGAGCTACAGTTCTGGCGCCCACTCACCGGTGAGGAGGCGGAGCCGAGTGGCAGCGCGAACATCGAGTAAGGGAGTGGCCTGAGTGAATGAAGGAGCAGCGCTTCCTGGACTGGATTGTCGTGGGATTGGGACACGGAGCCAGGTAGGATACAGCAGCCCCCTGCATGTGGCCCGCGGGCCGTAGTTTGAGGACCCCTGAACTAAACAGTGGCCAGGTAAGACTAGGTCCTCCCTCCTGGTGATTGACAGCCGCAGCCACGGATGGCGGTTCGGGTAGGGCGCACGTGTGCCCCCTACCTGTAAGTGAAAAATCATGTATAAACTAAGACATCTGTAATTTCCTCAAAGGAAAGAATTATTCAGCTCAAACTCTTTCACCATTCCTACCTCACTTCTTTCCTCAACCTTCTCATATGGTAGAAGAATATATCTGAAATATATTTTAAAAATATTCTAAAAATATATGTTAAAAATACATTTTTAAATAAAATCTGAAAAATATATTTTTCAAAATATATTTTTTTAAATATATTCTTCAGATTTTTTTTAACATAAAAAAGTAATTTTAACATATATTTTTACATATATTTGTAAATGCATTACAAAACTGTAGATTTGTATTTTTAAAGACATACAGTATATTTGAAATGTATTTTTAAAAATATTTTTCATACATTTTGTAATAACAATGCATTTCAACATGCAATATATATATATATATATATATATATATATATATATATATATATATATATATATTGAACTATATTGCGAAATATATTGAATATGGCCAGAATTGTAGAATTTCAAATATATGGCAATATATTTTGGAAGAGTATTTTAAAAATATATATTCAAATATATTTTTCTTCCATGTGGGATGGGTCTTCCTAATATTTTCACCCTAAGAATTGTCTCCTGGGGATATTTGGGGAACTATCCCTTTCTAAATATGCAAAACAACTGCTGTGTATTTTATATTTTTATGCTAAAAAGGTGATTGTACTGTCCTAGAAAGGGTCCATTAGACCCGCCCTGCCCCAATGGCTTAAACCTATTAATGACTCCCTTCCTTTATATAGACTTACTTTTGGACTGAGGAAAAAAAAAACAAAGTTGTTTGATAGTTTATGGGGCAAATGGATCTCCAGTCCCCATGCTTTAGCCTCTCTAGATCCAGACCTTTGAACTTGATTAATACTTTATATGTAACATGCACCTGTTGTACTGGAGTATATAGTACTATTACTTATTTTCATTTCTATTGTACATACTACTGCTTTGAATTGTGAACCTACCTGGTCCTTCTTTCTCTTTTTTATGGATGAGACCCTTTTTTTTTCTTTTGGATTTTGTGGGGGGTTTTGCTTGTATCTTGTTGTGAAAATTCAATAAATATATCTTAAAAAAATACAATTCACTTTGAAAGGAATACCCTTGTATATGGTTGGATGATGAAGTCAGCAGCTCTTTGCCTCATTCACCAATATCTTGCAACCTGTGTGGCCTTAATCAGAACTATAATTGAGGGCACACAGGTTGAAATGCGTTATCTATTTTGTTATGACTGTATTTTAGCTGAGATCTAATAAACTTTTGCTGAAGGATCTGCAACCTTGTGGCAGCCCTTTTCATTAATTGACTGAATGATCTGTATTTCCAAGATACGAACTATAGTTGTTCTGGCTACGGGTGTTAACAACCGCCTGGCGGTACCTCTAGCAGTCCACAGGACAGGATTCCCCAGAGCGCTGAGTCTAAGGCCCAGTCTGCTTGTTCACCAGGGCCCCTGACGGTGGGGATGGACTTGGAGCAGACAGGGACCAGGTCACGGCCCCTAAGTACACCTGCCTGTGGTAGAGGGATCCGCCAGAGGTATATACAGGTAGAGAGCCTGACGTGAAGAGGCGGAAGGCTGGAGCAGGGATGGCTGGATCCGTGCAGGATAGATGGATGGCAGAGTAGTGAGCGTGGTCAAACGGGCCGGGTCGGTAACAGTGGGGTCAGCGTAGTACAAGGCAGCAGGCAAAAGAGTAGTCAGGTCACTCGCCGGGGTCGGTAACAGGAGTTCAGATCATATTAGGGATATCCAGGAGAGAGGTCAAACGAGCCAGGGGGTCAAAGCAGGAGAAGTCAGCAGAGGTCAGGATCAGGCAGAGTCAGCAACAAATCATAACAGCAGGTATACAGGAACACAGGATAATCAGACCATACGGCAATGAGAATCTGTGCAGTGCAGGTTTAAATAGTGCGCCCTGCCCTGTCATTGGTGCCAGGCGAGCATCCGCGAGTGCGCATGCGCAGCCGCCGGCGCCCAGGTCCTAGTGCCCGCCGGCTAGTATGGATCGGTGTTCTGTGCATGCGCAGACCTGCTTGTTGCTGCGATCCCTGACAACAGGACTCATTCATACTTGTGCATACATTACCATGTGTGTTTTTGCATTGAGGTGCGTTGTGTTCAGGCAGTTTGTTCATTTTGAATGGACTGTCAGCATGCATGTAAAATGAAGCTATTATTTTTACAACACAGTGCAACGCACAGAGTATTCATATCTGTGTATTGTACATTTTGTCTCACTGTATATGTGCATTGAGATGCCACTCAAAATTGATGGCAGCGGACTGCAACACATATATAACCTGTGCATTATCGTGCATTGTTGTACCATGCGATTAAATGTGCATATTGCCACACATTACTAGAACACAATAATGTGAATGCAGCCTACGTATTTAACAAGTTGCCTTTGAGCAGCAGTAATCCACATGTTATGTTCTGTTTATCCCACTAATAAAAATAACAGTCAGAAACAACATGAGCTTTTCATTTCTTGGAATCAAATAAATTATCCGTGCTTGTTTCAGAATGATGAGAAGCAATTAAAATAATGACAAGTTCATGTTAAAATCAGAGGTAGCATTGATTACTGCATTGTGTTTTAAAGGTGGTGATTGCTTATGCTTTAAATGTGAATTATCTTTAGAAAATGATACAAAGAACACAGTGCTAAATAAGACGTGAATGTTGTTCCACTGCAGAAGGTGGTGGCTTTTTCTTTTTATTCACCTGTGGTCATACTGTGTAATTCATTCAGTGTTTTAAACCCCAAAACAATATGTAATATATTGCCAATTAACAGTCCTTAGGTGTGGTGGCTGCTTTTAGTTTTCACTTTTTAGGTGTATTTTCTTTATTTTCTCTGGGTAATCCATTGAATAACACACTTCCAGTCTCTGGGTGGCTATGCTCAGTTTTATATTGCATCTTTGGAGGCAGAGATGGTTGCCATCCAGGAAGAACTTTATTAATCTCTGCCTTTGTTCATCTTATTGCATGGGTTTGGGTTGGGTGGTTGATGGGATTAGTAGTTTACACAAGAAAGGCAAGTTTTCATCACAAGTCACAATGCAGGTTTTCTTCTAAATCAGTCTAATCTACACTTGTACTTGCCTGACAGCTCCTGACCTACTTTCAGGCCACCTGGATGTGGTTACTGCAGGCCTCCTAGTCTCAGTGTCCCCCTCCTACAAGCCATTATTGCCCCCCCCCCCCCCCAGGCTTTGTACTCTGAGTGGCTAGGAGAAAAGGGAGGGCAGAGACAAGACTGCAGTACTGGGGTCTATGATGACTGCATAACTAACGTCCAAACAGCCCAAAAGTACAGAGGGATGTTGTACATTGTAGCAGATTTGATGGATTTAAAAGAAAGCCTGTATGACTGGGTCAGGGTGGTTGTTTTTAACAACATAAGTTTTGTGGCTTATCTAAACCCAGGCATATTAATATCCAGTTATGTTTTTTGTGGTTTTAGGGACATATTCATCTATTTGTGAAACAATCTATGTAGTTGGCTAGAATCAAAATCCTATGGCAGTTCACTCCACATTTTCCAAGCCTTCATAGTAAAGATTCTACTATATTTAATATATACGTTGTGCTCAAAAGTTTGCATTTTTAAGAAAAGATGAGTAAGTAGGCAAAACACATTTCTTTTATTTCTTTTGGGATTCATATTCAACTGTAGGTCATAACAGAATGGCACAATCATAAAACAGAACATGGCAACAAGTAAACAATTGAAATGACCCCTGTTCAAAAGTCTGACCCATAGTTCTTTGCCTATCCTTAGTTCGTAATACTTCATCTTACCATCAATTGTCACAAGATTCCCTTTGCTGTTAGATCTCACACACCCCCGCAACATCAGTGAGCCACTTTCATGCTTCACAGTGGGGGTGGCATTCTTCTCACTGTAGGCCTTGTTGCCCCCTCTCCAAACATAGCACTTATGGTTGTGACCATAAAGCTCTATTTTGGACTTGTCACTCCAGATTACAGTGTGTCAGAAGCTGTGAGGCATGTCAAGGTGTTGTCGGGCATATGGTACCACGGCTTCTTTCTGGCAACTCGACAATGCAGTTAATTTTTATTCAAGTATCGTCATATTGCACTCCTTGAAACTACCACAACTTCTTTTTCCAGAGCAGCCTGTATTTCTCTTAAGGTTACCTGTGGGTTTTTCTTTGTATCCCGAATAATTCTTCTGGCAGTTGTGGCTGCAATCTTTCATGCCCTACTTGACCTTGGCTTGGTATCAAGAGATCCCCAAACTTTCCACTTCTTAATAAGTGATTGAACAG